TTGATATGTTCAGCACCTTTCTAGAAAGACACTTAAATAGTCTGACTCTCAAACGTATGATCATGTGGTTTCCACGAATGTTTGTTGATTGTGAATATATTCTTGGAATTCCAGGCTTCTTTAGGGAGTTTGGGAAGTATTGATTCATTGTATAGCAGTTATAAACATGTTTAGTCAAAAAAAGTCAAACCATAGATCCTCTACTTGGTAAGTGTACGCTATAGGTTGGCATGAAATTGTAGTAAATGTTCGAACTTATAAACTGTATAGAATGGGTACTGGCTTTCACCATACTTATAAAGGCATCTGACAGACTCAACTCTCTAAATGAAGCTTCAGTGTAATTTCACAAATACTTGAAAACTTTCCTTCTTTGATTCTCATTCTATACTCCAAATAATCAAACAGATATTCAATCTGATACTATATCTTGCGAATTCTTCCATTCAACGAAGCAGAATCCAAATAAGAAAGACTAAGTGTATTGCTGATCAACTACACTGAAGAAAAATAAACCAACAGCTCAGTGTTTAGGATAGTCTTCATTTTTATTGGTTTTACGTCTATTCATATTTATCATTGCTGTGCATCCAGCAGACATTCTTACTGTCAAGCGCAATTTGTTGTTGTGTTGCATCATTTCTTTTAGTGGTTTTACAGCATTCCCTAGTTGGTAGATTTGTATTCACACTAAAAGCAAGTGCACTGCTTTAGTTGTTATTTGGGGAATAATTCGAGTCAACTCAATATGGCTAAATAATCGTTTCTTATGATGGATAAAAGCTGTTGATCTTTCTTCGAATAAAATATTATGAAATGTTTTATTAGTAATGGTATAAATAAGAAGTATACATAATATGACCATCAGATGTCAAACACTTTAAGATTTTTTCCACATGCGTACCTAGTACTTTGCATGATTTAAACTAGTGGACTTTGGATGACTAGCGTAGAGACTAGTGGTTTGTTGATTCTGATAAAAACGACGAATGTGATGCTAACACCTGATAAGTCGATAAAGGTAGAACAACCACAAATTGCAATTTCATTTGCACTCTACAAGATATAAGTGGAATAGGCTGTGCTTATCGGCTAAACAAGTATGCATGTAGTCTAAGCAACAATTTGTTTCAGGATAAAAGGCTAGAATTTCACTGTTCATTAAAGTGAAATTTGTCAGCCATCGCATTCTGAGGGCATTCGCACTATGTGCTGATATCATCTAGAGAATTAGTGACCAATTAAGAACTTTTGGCACACGTTTCGCGCCAGTTTGAAACTTTAAGCATGATCGTTTATAACACTATCAGGGTACTGATGTCTTACACTTGATATGTTACCACTCAGTCGGTGATTCTCTGCCGTGATCCACATTCATCAAATTCTCTATAAGTAAGGCGACGTTAAGACCATCAAGTGTTATCAATAGGCATCCACTTGAGGGTGAGATTGGACTAAGGCTACCGATCGCAGGTTCTCACCAAAAATTTGAGATGAATAATAATCAAAATTTGGCTTTGACAGCTACAATTATTTCATGTTCTCTGAGTTTCTGAACTTATTAAATCACCATCGTGCTCATGTTGAGCCACAAATCGACCGAACCAACTCAAAATATTTCAATTACAAGACACTCTTATGTGCTTAAACATTGGGGAACTTCGCCCGTTGGAGAAATTTCCCACAAGAAAAGCTTTTCTGCATACATGAATATTTGCAGTGGAATATGTTTCTACAAGCTTTTGGATATAGATCACTCTTGCACAGAATTTCACGAAAGGAAGTGACAGAAAATGATTTACACAACGGGTTGACTAAATACAACAATGGTTTATCGAGATTATGTGGAGGACACAAAATAAATAAAATAGACATTCTACTGCGGTTGACGGTTTTATTAATTGAGACACTCAGTCTTTTCAACGAACAGTATAGAAAACTCACACATCTGATCAATTTAAGTGGGTCACCAACCAGTACGGCAACTGAATATCTTGACAGATTAAAACCACTAATGATAGACGATAATCAAAGGATAGTATCCTTTTATGTGACTTCAGTATTAACTTCTCTGGACTAAAAACTAGTGGAAGAAACAATGGATATTCTTCCAGAGAACCTCCGAAATTCTCAAGGTCATACTAAACTCACTACTCTAAACCTAATAAAGTTGACTAATCCATGCCCTACAACCAACTTGCATTTTAATGGCAAGACATACAAACGCACAGGAAGATTCACATCTATCACTATAGATATGAGGATTGACTTCTGAAGCAGTGATGCAGTGTCTGGAAGCGGCTGTGATCACACCTATCAAAGTCCAAATTCGCACTCACTGATCTGATAATAATAGGTGATTCTCAAGAAGTATGGGGTAGAATTTATGTCTAAACTAATCAACCAAATGTTTGAGTCTATGAAATCCAGAAAGGAGGGTGAAGCTAAAAGTAAATTTAGTCGAAAACATTCATACGGTAACCAAGTGAAAATTGAGTAGATGACTCAGTAACCCAGAACAATACGATGTTAATAAATAGCGCAACCTCCCATTAACAAAGATATTCTGACGACGTGACCCTCCTCCTCCCTCCTCAACGTACAATTGGACAACATTCAAGGTCAAAAAGTAGCATAACTGAGACACTCGTGAATATGTGAACTTGTCTCATACCTTTATGAAGCCAATTCCGGTGATCAAGACGTTCATGAAGTATATCAGAGGTTGGCGAACACCGAACTATTTTGTTCCCCTTCTTGAGATCTGTGTCTTTTCCATTAGTTTAACAATCTCGTGGTACCCAGTAAACAGCAAATAATAAATATAGGGTATAATTACATTTATCTCAGCATGTTTAAAGTAAAATAGGGGTAGAGTTTCGTTTAGACGCTTTGTCCAAGCTTTGGTCAAAAGATGAAGTTGAAATATCGGTGATATAAGAACCAAGTCAAAAGTGTGCACTCAGCTTCTTATTCTAACTTCGTCTTTATAATCATATTTTTGGAAACATGATTACAAAAGTTCATCCTTAGGGTGATCACAGATAAACCTATTGCCCAACATATTTGCAGAAGAAAGTGGGGATGGATTGGACATAAACTGAGGACACTATTTGGGGATATCACGTGCTACGCCAGGACGTCAAGTGGAAACCAAATGGGAAACGACGAGTTGTACATCCAAGGGTGACATGGAGGACATCGTGTAAGCAAAAGACGAAAGCTTGTGGGGAGTCGTGGAGTCAGGTTGAAAGGACTGTAGAGAAGACAGCGAAATGGTGACCTGCTGCTGAAGCCAGATGTTCTACTAGGAATCTAAGGGACAAATAATAAATAACGATATTCATAAATAATTTGCGACTAGTGTTACTGCCAAGTGGCTTATCTGCTACTTGATTTTGAGCATTCCAGTCACTGCGTAACATTTGTTGTATTCTTCTTATAACACTCAATATACATGCCACCGTCTTTTTTATCAGCCTCTCATACATCGTTTTACTAACTCACATTCAGGAAGCTTCCTGTCAAACATTAGAATCATTTCCTTGCAGTTGACATTACTCCAGGGTCATACCACTATGAAAAAGTGTCATTTCACTTTTGTTTATCATGTCCATATTTTTGTTTTGAAGCGAATTTCGAGAAATTATGAGCAGGATGCTCACCGAAGAGTTTTCAAACTACATAAAGTTGCAACACTTATGTTCCAAAGGCGTTTGAAGCTTCACAAGAAATTCACAGTTTAGGCGGCTGATGTGCGTTTGCAATAATTAATTCTTATTATCTATAGTTTGGTCATTTCCTATTTTGAACATTTATTACCTTATCGACTTATACTAGTAATGCTCGAATTCTAATTTTTTTTAACCTAACAGATTGGTAATCCTTGTAATCTTTAGCTATTCGCGTTGTATTGCCACTGAAAATGACCGCTAGAAAGTTTGCGTGACATCAGCTGCCATAAAATCTAAGGAAAATCTGTGATACTACAAACTTTGTGTTTGAACTTTAAACTACTTATGAATAGTGAGTAGTGTGATCAGTTATATTTTATTTTGATATATTGCACACTCCGTATGTTGTGCAGTTCTGTTGTAGCATATACTGTTCAGTATGTTCACACTTCGGTTTGTAATATTTGCATTTCATCCCATTACCACATTTTACCCTATTCACTTCACTTAACATGTACCCTGTCGTAACTTGAACCTTTGTTTCGCTCTAACTCTTATACCTACCTCACACTCCCGTGTGTCCTTCATTCTCACCACTGGTTTGAAGTGAACACAGGTGTTTAATGCCTATTTGACTTACTGATCTATTTTCGTGGTATTTTGGTGGTATGAAGAACATCCAGGAACTTCATGAATTGAAGTTTGTCACCTTCCTGTTCATTATTGTAGTTTCTTAGGTCATGGAAACCGATTTTCTGCACATTATGAACAGTTTCTATCCACGAATTCCCATCATTTTGAGCAACTAACCAGACAGTCTAAACCTTCCTAACTTTCAGCAACGAAGAACAATGGACCATAAGGATTGGCGCAATGCCTCAATCCAGCTCCACTGGCATGAGTGTCTTCCTAGTCAATCCGAATTCAATTAAGATCGCACAGTGAGGCAGATGGTGCAAAACTTTATATATATATATATATTCTAAGTAGGTGTAATTGTATGGATTTCTTATCTACCTTGTCTTTCCGACCTAGTATTCTAGACAGTGATCTGAATGCCTCTCTGGTCACCTTTAATTTTGATTACGTGCTTCTAAAAATCAGAAATTGTAGCAAGCGCACGTTTTACTTAATTTCTACCGTGACCTCCTAGTTCAGTTGTCTATTTATCTACCTATGAAACTGATTTATGTCTATCAGTTGACTTTATTGCTTTCTGTCTAGATCACTGATCATTCAAAATTGATCAGTGGGAAAAACATTGCTCACTAGTAAGCAGAAACGTCCATATACGGTTCTCAAATAAGATAGAAAGTACATTCTTAACCCCACTGCTTGTTATTATCTATATCACTACCAAACTAAATCATTACTCATAGTCTGTACAAATATTTATCTTCTTCACTCATTGTTTCTTTTACCAAAATTCCATTTCCCACAATCCCTTTGATAATGCATTTTGGAAGAATAATTTTTTCTCTGATGAATTTCTTTCCCAACAAAAAAGTGTTGTTCATTCACTTATATTATTTCCAAGCATCAGTAAGGTCCTAGTGTTACAAAATCGTCAGCTTTCATGCAAAGCATTCATTTCTATAGAAAAATTACCTAACAGGTTTGAAACCTTTAGGACAGATACTTTTCAAAGAATTTGGAAAAGAGCAAATAAATCCATGTTGTTCAGTTTTATCCTTCATTTCAATTACTGTTGGAGATGTTGCGTTCAAATGTGCGACAAGTCTTATTATTGGCGCCAAACTACCATCCCTGGAAGTATAATTTTCATCACCAACCTTCAAACGATTATCATCTCCAACCCAGAATTCAATATTCAAATTAATGTAGCCAACATAAAGTAATACAGAGACAATTTTGTCAAAATCTTCATTTCCACTCAACTGCTTAACCAATTCACCATTGGGATGCTTCATTCTGCAACGTGTGATAGCATTTTGATGTGTAAGCGAAACTGAACTGTATATGGCATAAGAATAGGTTTTCCCACTTCCAATATAATCGCATCCAGCTGGATTAAAAGGTGGCAGGTTCACCATACTCATGATAAGGCGAATCCTCCATAAAATCAGAAATTCTGTGATAATATAGCATTTTAGAAGCATGGCCTGTACAATGAGAGCTAACCACAACAAAAATTCAAATGCTGATCAATATAGTTGGTATAGATTACTCTGTTAATATCGTCGTGATATGATCAACTTATTGATGATAAAATCAGCACTTTGACAGAAGTCTGGAACAGTTAGTCCCCTTTACGAATTTTAATAAAACAGTAAGAGAAAGTAAGTATTCTGATAGGGACCTTGATACCTAGCTGTTTCATTTCATTCTACTAATTTTTTCTGATTACTACACAGCGCACAGACTGAGTAGCTAATCGAATGTCAGCTTGTAAACTCATTTGGTTCTTGTTAAAACCCGTAAGGTACACCACAGATTTACGAATTTCAAGATGTCGACCTGAAAGTACTTTAAGTGGCTGTCGACATTTCATTTTACCTTTTATGACTTGAATTTTAAATATTGATATATTTTCAAAGCTTTCATTTTTCATTTTCCAACTATTTTGTAACACTGTATATTACAGTGACTCTATTAACTTGTTAGAGGAGTTATTGCTTTCTTCAAATATCAGTGAAAAAAAAGATTCTTGAAGAATGTCTAAAAACCGTCATTTTCACAACTCAAAACAGTCAGATTCACTTTCTAATTCACCTAGTTTTCTTACAAGCATTCACATCGTGAACCAATGAACCACTGAATAATCAAAGATAAAAATTCAGCCTGTAATACGATCCAAAAAGGTTTAAATGTACCAATCTAATGAGTGTTAGGTTTTGGTCCGATAACGTTAATCACAATATTTCTAACTTCAGCGTCAGGTTACACAGGTTTAATTAACCAATGAATATCAGATCCTTGGTAACTACATCTGTACCTTGTTAATAGGTGTCGAGAAACGCAGTAGCTAGGTCTTTGGTTTTTTGACCACTGACTCTCAGTTCCTAAAATTACAATTTTGTTAATCCGTAAACATATCACTGATGATGAGAACTTTTTTGTTGTTGATTAAAAGTATTTGGATTGCTTTCACCCAAAAAACACTAAAGTGAAGGTAAAAACCAACACATCCTTGGAGTTTAAATGACAAAACTTAGTTTATATTTTCCTAAAGCTGTTCAATGTTACGTTTCAATATGATTAGAACCGCTTAGACATTAAAAAGTGGCGCTAAATCATTCCTATTGTACATGTCAAACTCTAATTAGATCAGAACTCTTCATCTATTCTTTTGTAGCAGTCGTTTATAATCTTACCTTTTAGTAATAATGATATATTTCGTTGTATAAGGTTTATTTTCATTTGAATAATCTCGGCGTAGAATACAAAAACAAGTAACAAAATAAAGAAATATTTTGTATTATTCCTCAACGTTCCGATCTTGCTAGGAAGATCCTGACACTGAGTTTTCAGGTTAATATTCTAGTTTCAAGGTGACCTTTACAATTCCTCCATATCACGATGTAATTCGATGATTGTAAAGATCATCACCTTCTGTACCGAAACTTGAATATTTACCTGAAAACTCAATGTTAGATTCATACTCTTGAAAAGGATCTTCCTAGCAAGATCGGAACGTTGAGTAATAATACAAAATATTTCTTTATTTTGTTATTTGTTCTAATAATGTACTACGCTGGGATTACACAATTAAAACTCACCTTACGAACTCGGTGCCCAAGTTTTTCAAACCATCCAGTCCATTGTTGGCCAGGATACCTTCAAAAATAGTGCATCTGCTTTATTCCGAACCATAAGTTTGTTTACAGTACATAATTCTCAGCGTTTTACGTTGCATCAGTTTACGTTTTGTGCAACATATTCCAATATATTAATAATGGTTCTAGTTAACAATATATAATGAGTAACAGGTTTGTTGGAATCTTTAATGGATTCAGCGTCATGAAAACTGTTCGCTGTCAAAAGGTTGACTGATAGGACTGTTGCTTACATATGTTAATCATACAACACACAAGCTAAGGTATGATAATAATGTAGTTGTGCGTACATACAGTTTAATGAGTTCCTGAGAAAAAAGATGAAGAGAAGCGTGGATAGAAAAGATGGATGTCATCTGATAGCTAGCTGCCTACAAGAGTCCAGACGTATAAACACAACCGCATTTATCAGTGTGGTCAGTGGTGTATCAGTCGCTCTACTGATGGCCTACAAGATCGTATGCAAACAGCATGGCTTTTTTTAAGGAGTCCAGAAAAAATAAGAGGGAACATCAGGCAAGTACAGGCAAAATACAGGAATTAATTAAACGTAAGGGTAGAGGTTGAGTTAGGCTAGACAGTCTGAGTTTCTTGATATAAAACATCAAGCAAAAGATTTTCCTAGAAATCAATAAGATATGAAGGGAATAAAAAAATCATAAGAAAAATATAAACTAAGATGATTCACACTTGAAACACTTACTAAAACACACCCATCAGTAAGGACAAAGTCATGGGATTGAAGAAGTCTACATAGATCTAGTTCATGTCCTAATGTGAAATAAATCGTCTGGCATTGCAAGTGATTGAATGCGATACCATTTAAAGAAGACCATTGACAAATTTCTGTTAGGAAGTTAGTAAACTAAGAACAATTTGAAGAGAAGACAAACAGCATGGAAGCTGTTAGGCTACCCACATGCTTAAAAAGATTAGCTGTATTAGTTTAACCAACTCACACGAAAAGGAAAGCAAAAAGAGCAACTATTTAATGCATGCTAGCTTCCTCAAGTATCTTAGTAGAGCCCTTCTCTCTGCATAAAGTGTACTGGCTTCTTACGGAAAAACAAAAATTAGACCAGTTCGCACTCCAGGATTCAATATGAGTTTTAGCAAGCCTATTAAATAAAAAAGGTCTGGGGACAGACTCAAAGCCACAAGTATAATCTAAGGAAGCAGATCTAGCTAACTTAATGACTTTATCGAGATTTGCAATAATATTATAGAGCAAAATAAATGCAGCATATCAAGTACCGCTGCTGAGTTTGTAAGTAAATTGACTTGGATCACCGATAGCCTATAAAAGAGGATTCAAACGTATGAAGCAACAGTTTTTCCATTCCCCTTAGAAATGTATAGGTTATTGCTATCGATCGGTCGAAATTTCATACTTACTCTAGAAGATAGGAACTTGGGCATCAGAACTATTTTAATTTTCTTCGAGGTGGTTGGTACATCACTTTCGGCACAAGACTCCTTAAACATTTTCGCGATCAGATGACACAGAATATCAGCGCATTTGCAAAATACAGTCATGCCATCTTTTCTTATGTTTTTTGATGGTTTGAATGATTTTAAGCATTTGAATATATCTTTTTTATTAGATTCTGTAAGATTGTCTTCGGTTATACGTGAAAAACTAGATAAGATGACATTACCAGGGTTACATATCAATGACTCGTCTAGTGCACTTACGTTTCGGTAAGCTTCTTTGCTGAGAATTCTTCCATCAGTGAGATTTCAAACAGCATAGATGTATTAGAAGAGCTTTAATGTGACATTATCTTAAGGATAAGTATCAAGTTTAGACTTTTTATTTCAGAATTAAGAAGGTAGATAGGTCATCTAATACCATTTTTGTCATTAACTCTATAGACCTTTCCTTCGGAAAAATATTTTGGCTGGACAATAATTATCGAGGCCAAATTTAAGATGTAGCAGCATCGATAACGTAGTCGAGCAAATCATTTACAAATATATCTTATTTCATATTTTACAGATATACTTCAAGCTTAGCATTTCTTGTTTTATGTAGCTTCTGTGTATAGTCTTCTTAGAATGATGTTAAAAAATACTACTCGATGGTCTGCAATATACTTTCTTCAAAACATAAGTTACACAGTAATATGAATTCAGAAATAGTGCCCTCCGACATATTTTTTTGTATCAGGGGTTCATAAGAGAAGACCAAGTCCAACGTAGCATACAGACAAGTTGAAAAACTGCCTTGGTTTTTGCAACCAAGAGAACTCAGAAATTTACAGCCACAAGAATTGAAATTACCATACACAATAGACAGAGAATCACATATTATGGGATCTACGGATTGTGTGAATTTGTCGGAGAGTCTATGTAATTCTTAGAAGCTGCCTTCAGGTGTCATGAGAGGTATGTGATGTAAATGAAATCATACTTATCGAAATGTTTGAGGCGAAATTTAGAAGTGATACAGTGTCATTATAATCGGCAAAACAGACAAACTTTAATGAGAACCACTGGATGTTCTTAAGGGTAGATACAACTCCACCGCACTTCTGATAAAACAAATCGATCCTGGCAAAACTTTTTGGATTTATTCAAAGCAACTAATTTGTTGCCATAAACGCTATGCAACCGAGCTTTCTCTAATGTTATTACACCAGCATTATGACAAACATTGGGACATAAGAGATATTGTAAGTAGTACACCCTACCAAGTAGAGATCTGCAGTTCAAACTGAGTATTTCATATAGTATCATCTGATGTAGTTTTCTTCACTTCATAGCGCGATACTATCCAACGTTTTTAAAATTCAAATCGATAGGTTGACTACTCTATAAGCGTTCACGATACGATTTGTGGCCGTAAATGAACAACTAAAGCAAAATAATAAACTCGAAGAAAAACATGGAATGAAAAAACATTTGATAGCCCAGATGTTTAGGCAGGTCGTCTTATCGTACAAGTGTGTGTGGTTGCACACGTAGGAAAGGTTGGATTTTTCTCTGGACAATGCATTTCAGTGGCTGTTTTTATAGACTTAGCTATGTAATTATGGATAAAATGAATAGTCCGTATCGGTTGTTTTGATCTGTGTAACTTGCTGGTACTTATTATTATTATTATTATTAGTCCCTTGGGTTCCTAGTGGAACATAGGGCTTCAGTAGTACGTCTCCAGTGACCTCTGTTCTCTGAGATCTTTTGAACCTGGCTCCACGACAGCCCACAAGCCCCCATTTCCTCCTCGCACGATCTCCTCCATGTCACCCTCTCCTCAGACGACCAACTCGTCGCTTCCCATGGGGATTCCACTCGAGTGCCTGGCCTGACGCGTGATGTCCCCAGTCGGCCTTCTCAATGCATG